CACACACACGAAGTAAAAAAAAAAAAAGGAGGGATGCGGCAAATTTAAGCCTATTCTTATGTATTACAAGTGACTGGACGGGAGGAAAGTCACAGGGTTAGGGATGTGAAGGGACGAGAACAGATTAACCCCTTTTGGTTACAACCCACAGTATCACGTCGCTGCCTGAGGGAATAACAAGAGGGGAATCAAAAGAAAAGATCGAAAGCAACAAGAAAGTGGCTAATTGAAAAAGAAGAGGAAACGGTGGAAATAAGACAATGGACGGCAAATATATTTATATAAGGTTCTGCCCAATGCATGGGCCTTTTTTTTTTTCTTTTTTTTTTTTTTTTTTTTGGGTGAACAGAATGATATTCGCGTGCCCCCGTTTGCTCCCATGGAATTTCCTCTGTATCTCTTCCTTTTCTTCTATTCTTCTCCAATTACACACCCTGGTCAAAACAATAAAAAAAAAAAAAAGGAAAATAATTATCTGTATTTGGCTCTTATGCTTGGGATGAGAGGCGTATGCACTGTTTGGATTTTTGTCTGCGTCGTACTAACGTTCGGATTGTCACTCTCACATGCGGAGTTGTCGACAATCGAAACTCAATTCCAAGAACTCTCCCCGCCGCAAACATCCTCCGAGGTGTCAGAAACCAATTCGTTGACGTTCCCGTTTTTTGCGTGTGAGGCGGAGGTGAGGCAGTTATGCCTCAAGCAAATGGAAGCGCCGCTTAAATGTCTTCTACAGCACTTTGAATCCCAGCGGAACACCAAATTGCTCTGGCGACGACGAATTACTTTCAGCAGTGCCTGCAGCAGGTGGTTATGGGCAAGGCAGGAGTGTGTGTCGTTCGTGCGACAGACAGGAATATGCCGTGCTTCGGAAAGTGCACGCAATTGCCTTCGACGCATTCCACCGCGGGGAATTCCGTCGGGTTGCCGCGACACGGAGTACTACCGCAGTGTGCTCTTGTACGGAGAGATGAAGAGGAAGCAGGGACTGTGGAAACCGAGCAACACCCCCAAAAAGCAGCAAAAGAACTGAAGGAAAAAAAAAAAAAAGATGAAAAAAAAAAAGGGCGGAGAGGCTGAAATCTTTAAAGTGTTGCGTGCTATTGGATACACGTTACCCGAAGGCAAAGAATACACACTCAAAGAAACAACAATTAAAAAAAAAAAAAGGGCGGAAAACAACCAAAAAAAAAATTTGAGAGAGAGAGAGAGAGAAAGAAGCATAAATGAAAAGGACAGATACTGCCCGTACAACAAAACACAAAAGAAAAAAAGAAGAAGAAAGAGGGGAAATTGAGGGTTAAGGCCGGATGGCAGCTGTAAAGCTGAGCAAAAATCTGAAGTTCGAATGATGTATGAAGGAACCTTTTTGCATAAATCAATCCCCTGTGAGTGCATACACTGCTAATAAAAAAAATATGAGAGAAAAACACATTGAGATTCCATGGCTTTACAAGTGGCAGATGAGTAACTTGTGGGTGTCATTGGAAAGGAGAGAATTGGCCTTTTCTTTGGAAACTTCGTCCCGATGTGTGTTTTTTTTTTTTTTTTTTTTTTTTCCATTTTAGCGCATGGAAAAGCAGTGTATGCAATTTATGGTGTTGGGGCGGCCCAAATGAGCGTAATGCGACATTTTTAGCCGATCATCATAATATTTGCCTGTGTGTGTGCTCGTGCGTGTGTGATTGTGTGTGTGTGTGTGTGTGTGTGATTGTGTTTGCTGGGTTAGTTGACAGTGCCAGCAATTTGTGTTTCATGCTAGCTGCTTTTCTTTTTTTTTTTTCTCACTACCGGTATTGTGTGTGTGTGTGTGTGTGGGGAGGGGTTCTTTGTCTCTCCCGGGTCATGACGCGGTTGTTTTTTCTTTCTCTCGCGCACCACGCGAACACTCTTGGCCCGGAGGCAACGAAAATGAGAGGGTGGCGGCGGGTAGAATTGGGAATTTGTGCTGAGAATGGGGGGAAAATGGTCAAAACAGCAAAAGAAGAAGAAAAAAAAAAAAAGAAGGCGATTTTTAGTGCCTGACGTTTTTCTAACGGAATTTTTTTTTTTTTTTTTTTGTTTTTGTTTTGTTTTTTGTTTTTGTTTTCTGTCTGTGTGTGTGTGTTGTTGTTTTTTGTTTAGAAGATATTTAAAGAAAAATAAAAATAAAAAAGAAGTGCGGATACATTTATTTATATTTACTTTTATTTATCTATCTATATATAAGTGTACCATAAATAAATAAATATATATATATATATATGTATGTATGTATGTATCTCCCCTCTTTATGTGTGTGTTTGTTTTATATTTATAAATATATATTTATTTATGGTACACAGATTGGTTTATGGTTTAAATGAATGTATACGCATGGAGGATTGGGTTTTCGTTTCCCTTTTTTTTTTTTTTTTTTTTTGTGTGTGTGTATGTGGGGAGGGTGGGTGGGTGGGATTTTGCGTGAGTTTTGTTTTTGTTTTTTTGTTTTTTTATACTTCTTTTGTTTGGGCAGTTGTCTTGCACGATCATGGAATGAGAGACGGCGGTAAATGCGGACCAAAACTGTTGGCTGGTGCGAGGCCGCTACCAATTTGCATCCCGCTACCTGCTGTGTCAGTGTGGAGGTCCACCATTTTATTGTTTGCTTGACTTCATGCCCGTCTTTCTTTCTTTTTTCTTTTTTTTTTTAAGTCGGCACTTTGGGATGCTGTCAACAGGCGCCCCTGTCCTTCTTGGCACAGCGTGCATGTTGTGCGGGACGCTGCAGACCGTCATTCCCAAGTAAACAAATGCCCTCACAGCAGCCGATCGTTTTCAGCATCATGTGTACCGCGGTTTGCCAGCCCTAGTCGTGCCTGGGGTCATGTTGCCGGTGAAGAAACGCGTGCCCCGCCAACCAATCGCCAACGGGAGGGCATTGCATGGCTCTGTCATCCCATCTTGTGGGTGTCTCCCGCAGGTGCAGACGTTGGCGCACCTAGCTTGCAGGACTTAGGTCCGGTTTTTGCGTACGCTCCCGCATGCAGAACGCTGTGTGGTGCACGGCTACTCTTTTTAGGTTTCTTTTCACGCATTTGCTCGGGGCGACGGTTTGCTCGAGTGGACTGTGCTATTATGCCCCTTGTATCTGTTGGCCTCAGGCCTGCGCTTAGTCATTCTCTGACGAGGATGAATAACGCGTATCGAGATTGCTTTTTTTTTTTTTTTTTCTTTGCCACTTTTCCCTCTTTCTTTTATGTTTACTGTGTGTTTATTCATATACGCACGTGGCTGCTGGGAAGTGCTAGCGGAGCGTATCGAAGCAGCGACCAAGGTTGCTTAGCGGCATTGTGAAAAGAAGGGGGTGGATGCATGCCGCTTGAAGGTGGGGGAACCCGCTGGTGGGATGGGTGGCTCGCATTTTGTCTCATTTTATCTCGAGCCATTCATTTGATCTCATCTCTCACATGTGTCTCTTTTGTTTTTTGTTGTTTTTCCTTTTCTTGTGACAAGGGCGGGCTTGCCGACAACCGTAACGGGCTAAGGTATGCTGGGAACGCGTGCATAGAGGGGATGAGTGACACAGACGGGCCACGACAGCCCTCAGAGAGTGTGGCTTTCGTAGTTGAGCTTGAGCAGGATATGGGCCGCACTGAGATTGAGATTGTGGAGAAAGAGGAACGAAAAAATATTGTGTGTAGATACAAGGACGCTTTTTCCCTTTTAACGAGCGCAGAAAAATGCATCCATGCCCTGACATGCTGTGGTTGCCCTAATAATTCCTCCTGGAACACTGACAGTGGCGGGAGGGCTGCTTTGAGGGAGCGGTGGGGACGACGGTCCAACATGCGTCCGTACGCGATGGATGCAACGGACATGCAGCAGCGCAAGCAGGGTTCAATGGCCTTTTCTCTTAGTGTACCACCGTTGGTATGGCCGTGGAATCCGCTACGGGCAGGTGCATTGCAAAAGTCTGCGACACAAAGTGAAAATGGCTTCTCACACATCGCGAGGACGCCTGCCGCAGAGACGAGGAAGCGCCACGGTGGTCTTTGCTCTGCAGCGAGCGAACGCCTTACGTGTGGCTCACTGTCTGTGTCACTGCGTGGCGACAAGCAACTTCACGAAGACGGTAAAAAACGAAGATGGAACAGCAGCAGTAACCTCTGCAGCAAGGCAGGTGCTTCACGCTCCGTGTCGTTGGCTCCTAACGATTTAGTTCGTTTGCAGAAAAAGACGGTCTCTCATCCCCTGGTAAGAAGTCAACCCTCAGTGGGTAGCCAAGGCTTCCCCAGTAGAAGAGAGTACCATTCCTTGAACACGCAAACGGATTTCCCCATCAGACTTCCCAAGGCTCTCATTGATGACCGGTTTAGACGACTGAATACATTGCAGGATCTTCTTCGCATGGAATTGGAGCGGGAGGCCCTTGAGGACTGGCAAGTTCTGCGGGATGAGTTCATAAGGTTGGGCTGTAAACCGATGGAAGTAAAGCAGCTGGGACGCAATCGGCGATGCGAAGCTGGCGATTTGGAGGGCCGTGCAGGAGCGACGGTGGGAATTTCCATTTGGGAGAGAGAAAAACGTCGCCAAGAGAGAAGATTTTGGGCACTGGAGCTCCACAACTAACAAGTGGACACGGTAGGGTCATCTTCTACTGTACGATAAAATCTTCTCCCCAAGGCATTCTGCAGGAAGATTGAGCATAAACGCACACATTTCTCTAGAGGTAGACATATATATATATGCGTTTACGGGTAAAGAAGCATTGACGAGTTGAGGCGGGAAAAAGAAGATAAATGTTTTTTTTTTCTCTGTCGTTTGCTTGTTACTTGTGGAGTTTGTTAATTATTTTCTTTGTTCTCACTAGCTTTTTTTTGCCGTTATTTTTCCATTCATTTTGTTAATTTCATTTTGGGTTTTTTTTTCTTTGCTGTGAGGGAGGGATGCGTGGTTCAGTTATGTTCTTGCGTGCAAGCCGTCCTCTTTTAGAGAAGGCAACTTCAACATTGCGGCATGCTGTTGAGGTTGCATATGCGTCCGGTATATTGGGGCCCGTTCCCCGCAGTCTCAAAGGGGCGTTTGAGGCCGATGTCTTTGCGCCGACCTTCGTGGCTGACCCGATGAGGCCACGACAACAAATTGGCATGGGCAGCAGTGATTACTGTAATGAGAGGGCGCGTGATCGGATCCGTTTTGCCTCCCGCTGTGCGGAAGAAGCGAGCGTTGCGGCATCGTCATTGGCGGTGTCGATTGCCCACGTGGAGGGGGTTGTGCGACGTGTGGAGTGCGGTAGCGTTGATGCCGATACGGTTCTGCAGCTGATCCTAGAGCTGGAGGAGGGAAACGAGCGAATTCCATTCGCGGCCCGGTGGCGCCCGGCTTGCAGTGAGAGCCTGCGGGGGCTTAAGAACGGTACATATGTGGCGGATGCGAAGCAGCGACTTGAGGGGAAGCGAGTGGTTTTGAGCGGGAGGCTGCAGGTGGAGGAGCGGTACGACCTGCACAGCAACATGCTGCACAAGGTGCCAACCCTCATTTTGCCTTCAACGTCGTCTCTTGAGGGAAGCTGTTTGTCTGTTCTTGCCGACTGAGAATTGTTGTGTTTATTCGACAAGGTGAGTGAGGAGCTGAGGCCGAGTTTTGTTGTTTATTGTTTTGCTTTGCGTTTCTTTTTTCCCCATGTGCGTTGCCGCCTCTTTGCCCTTTTGTTATTATTATTTCCCCCCGCCGTGAGCCGCACGGTGCATAGAGTCAAGGATCATTCCAGCAGCAGCACCCCCCAACGCGCGGCGTGGTGAAGCGAGAGGAAAACCGTTCTAACATTAAATTAAGGGTATAAAAGAGAGGTGGCGGTGGTGGTTGTGTTGCGTTCCGTTCTTTGTTTGTTTCTTCTCACAAGAATGTTTTTTCGTACTTGTTGTCGTCTGATGGTGCGGCCGACAGCCCTGCAGCGATGCAAAAGCGTCAACAGTGTGACTTTAGTTGGTGTGGTACACGACATCCAGAGCGGGTTTGTCTACGAGGACGCCGTCACCCAGTTCACTCTCACAACGACAAGTATTGACACAACGCACCCGACGCAGGAAGTCGTGGTGGAGAAGGATCATCACACGATCCGCTGCTTCGGGGAACTCTTTTCTGCGGAGGTGAAGCAGAAGGTTAAAGAAGGGAATGTCGTCTGCGTCAATGGGCGCCTGCGACTCAGCCCGCAGCTTGAGCCGTCATGCAATAAACATTTCTACTTTCCGTATATTCAGGTTCAGCCCCCGCATGGTCAGGTGGCTGTTATTCACGGTGATAGGAGAAATACGCCGGTTTCTGTGAATCCGACAGCTGAAGAAATCCCTGCGGAAAGCGAGAGTGGCACCACCAGCAAAACATCTTAGCGTAACACGACTGCTAGTTTGTGCCTCGGGAGGCTTATTTACAGAGAGAGATATAAATATAAGGGTTAGGGTCCGACAAGAGTGACTGGGAGAGAAAAAGATTGTGCTTCTGTGTTTCTTGGAAAAGGTGATGGGAGAGGCAGTGCATGAAGAATCGATTGTTGGGGGCTCCGTTCGTATTTTCTCCGTTGTTACCGTGACAAAGTGCCAGGTGTTTGTGTGGGTGGGTGGGTGACACTTTTTTTGTGGTGGGGGTTCATTGCCCGCATTTATTTCCCGTTCCTTTTTTTTTTTTTTTTTTCTTTTTTTTTGTGCCTTTCATCTATTGTCGAACCAAAGAAGGGTTAAAGGAGTGTAAGTGGACGGGTCTGCTGCTCCCCCTCTCCCTCAAAGAACAGAAAGAAGAGACGAAGGTAGATATATATATATATATACATACATATATAGTAGCGGAACGGAAGGCTCATCACTGCCGTGCTGTCCATGAAGCCGCAATCTGTTACTTTGAGGGAGCAGACGGTTCTGGAGCGGACAAAGGCGGAGAGCCTGTCGGCGGTGCGAAACCTCAATCTGTGGGGTGAGGGATTTACGGACGTGACGATTGTTGAGAGGATTCCTGGCATCGAGGTGCTTGCATTGGCGGCCAATCAGCTAACTACACTGCGTCCCTTTGCTTCGTGCACATCGCTGCGGGAGTTGTATCTGCGGAAGAACGACATTAAATCCCTCGCAGAGGTAAAATACATCAAGGACCTCCCGAACCTGCGCACACTCTGGCTCATGGATAACCCTTGTGCAAAAAGCAATCACTACCGCAGTTTTGTTCTTCGGTGCTGTCCGAATCTGAAGCAGCTGGACAATATTGAGGTCACCGAGACGGAGCGGGAGGAGGCGAAAAAGAAACTTTCGGAAGAGGATGTAAAACACATTTTAGAGCACGGAACTGTCGCGGAAGCAGATCTGAGCAACAAGCGGCAGCAGACCAATTCTTCAGCCGTGTCAAAGGCTGTGGAAAAGGGGTCCCTCGCGAGCGTAGGCAGGCAGCCCAGCCAATATGGGAGGACGAAGGAAAAAGAAAAGGAACTGAGGCAGGGTGGAAATTGGGCCAATGACGCGCCGAGGGAATCGAGTTGCACACCCACATCCAACGGTGTTCCATACACAACGGTTAAAACTCAACAGGCAATTATCACCGCTATCGTGTCGCTCATACCTGAACTGACACTGGGGTCCCTGGGAGTGCTGCAAAAGGAGATTAAAGACGAGGTAGTTCGGAAGGAAAAGTCTGTCCGGAATCGCTCAAATTGCCCACAGTAGCGCAGCGCTTGGCCTAAGTTTTAATATCCATGTGTGTGTGTGTATTTTTTTTTTTTTTTTTCCTTCACCATTACAATTGCGTTTCTTCCCCTCTTCCCCGGGCGGCTGCGTCTGTGCTGCCAAACAAAATATGTTGCCGGTTGTGTGGATTGTTCCCTCGAGTAAACACTGTGTGTTTTGTGTGCCCTCTTTTTCCCACTTCATTTTTTTCTCTGCTTTTTCGTTGACGCGCGGGAGCAGGTGAAGACGCCAAACCCCCTTTTTATCCCATCAAGACTTCTCTCTTTTCTTTTTCCTTTTTTCTTCTCTCTTTTTTTTTTTTGTTTGTGTTCCAGTCGTCGTGTTTAGTTGCAAGCAGAAGGAGGAGTGAGTTTTTGTTTTTGTTGTTTGTTTTTTCGTTTGTGTGTTTTGCGTCTATTGCTGTTGGGCGTGGGGAGATCTGAAGCAAAGACGGCTGACCGGCATCAGTGTGTTGGGGAGGCGGGGGGAAAAATTAAAGAGGAGCATCGGGGGCACGCCCAGCGCGTCTGTAGGGAGGAGCCGTGCCGGGGGAGTGGCCGTGTGTGTTTGTGTTTGTGCGACAAGTTGGCGGACGGGGGTTCACAACAACCAAAGAAAAACAAGGAAAAAAAGGCGTTAAAGCTTTTTCTTGTTTGCGAAAATAAAACAAAAAGGACTCAAAAAAAAAAAAAAAAAAATAGAAGAAGAAAAAGGGTGGGTGGGAGGTGAGAAGAAAGAGCAACAAAAATAAGAAAAGAAAATGTCATCTGAAATAGAGCCGCATATTCTCCGCAAATATGAGATTCAGGCGCAGTTAGGACAGGGGGCGTACGGCATCGTTTGGCGTGCGTCCGACCGCCGCACCCATCAGGTAGTCGCCCTAAAAAAAATATACGATGCGTTTCAAAACGCAACCGACGCACAGCGCACATTTCGTGAGATTATGTTTTTGCAGGCCCTTAGCCACCCGAACATAATTAAACTGCTGCATGTTCACCGTGCCACTAACGATAAAGACATTTACCTTGTCTTTGAGTATATGGAGACAGACCTGCATGTCGTTATCCGTGCCAACATTCTTGAGGATATCCACAAACAGTTTATTATTTATCAACTACTGAAAACTTTGAAGTATCTTCATTCTGCGGAGTTGCTACACCGCGATATGAAGCCATCAAATCTTTTGGTCAACAGCGACTGCTCAATGAAGGTTGCGGATTTTGGATTAGCGCGGTCAATTCTCTCTCTGGAGAAGGAACAAGTGGCTCGCCCCGCCCTCACGGACTACATCATGACCCGTTGGTATCGACCGCCAGAGATCCTACTGGGCTCGACACGTTATACAAAGGGGGTGGACATGTGGGCTGTAGGATGTATTCTTGCTGAACTCCTTCTTGGAAGACCCATATTCCCTGGGCGTACAACAATAAAGCAGCTGGAGCTCATCATCAACGTTCTTGGCGAACCGACACCAGAGGATATTGCGTCGACAAACTCCCAGTTTGCGGAGGCGATGATGAAAGACATTCGACGCACACATACGGCGACGTTTGCGGAGTTGCTTCCTAAAGCCTCGCCGGACGCACTTGACTTGGTGCAAAAACTTATGCGATTCAACCCCAATGAGCGCCTCACCGCAGAGCAGGCGTTGGAGCATCCATATGTGGCTGCTTTTCACAAGGTGCAGGACGAGCCCTCGGCACCTGCGCCAGTAACTATCTCGCTTCCAGATGACACACGCTTTACCATGCAGGAATACCGTGAGCGTCTCTACCAGGAGATTGCAAACGCAAGAAGAAGAGTCCGCCGAGAGGCGGCCGCAGCCTTATCTTCAAAGAACGAGTCTGGCGGCGTGGTGACTCGGGCGCATCCGCCCTCCTCCGCTGCGGCCCCCGTGGCGGAAGAGAGGCGGGAAAAAGTCCGTGACGCGGCAGTCACGCACACATCGTCTTCGACTGTTGCTCGGCCCAATTCTTCGACCGCAACACGTACGGCGTTGGCGAATGGGGCCAGTCGAACAACTCTTGCAAGTAGAACTTCCGACGCGACGCGGCCTGCGCATCATACTCGGCCTGTTGTTTCACGTCATGGACTTAATGGTTCACGAACCATGCAAAAGTAGGGGATACTCAACGGACGACATATTATTATTTGGAGAGAAATAAACGAGGAGAGAAAAGGAGCAACGAACGAAGGGGAGGAGTGGAAGGGTATGAAGTGCAAATTCTAAAAGGATGCCGCAATAAGTGGGCAATTAGCGACTCACCTGGCATGAATGCATGTTTAAGTAGAGGCGCCTCCTCACTTTCTTGGGTCGTTTTTTTTTTCTCTGTTGTTTGTGTTGCTGGTATTTTGCTTTGCTTATTGTTGGTGTTTCAGAATCTCCATTTTTTATGTTGTTTCCTGTGAGTGGCGCAAAAAAAAATAAAAAAAAAATGAAACATAAATATTTAGTTAGTTGTTTTTTGTTCTTGTTGTTGTTGTTTTTTCCCCCTATTTGAGTGGCTGGAGGAATCTCACGGGGAGTGTGTGGGGAGGCAAGTTTGTGTTTACACCCGTCACTGGAAGTGTGTTCCTTTTTCTCTCTGTCCGCGCGTGTGGGCTGATCCGATGGCGGTGTGAAATATATATATATATATATATATATTAGAGAAACTGGCTGCCACGGGGTTCTCGCACGGGTGCTTGAGCGGCGGTCTTGTGCCTTTTTTCCCCCTCCTCGTCTGGACGCACAATTGCAACCCAAGAAGTAGTCGTTTTAGTGCGTACGGTAGCCGGATGCGGGAACGGGTGGCCGAGGGGTGAATTCATTGCTTTTCTGGCAGGCGCGAAAGTAAATGGTGTGGGGTGCCGGAGGAGAGGGCGGAGGAGCATCGACGTGGCGTAGAGAGGAGTGTTGGGGCCAAAGGCCCTCTTTTCTCCTTTTTTTTTGTTTTTTTTTGTTTTTTGTTTTTTACCGCACGATTTTGACGTCTTTTTAAAACATATATAAATATGTATGTTGGCATGTAGATTGGATGGCATGACGCGGGACACATAAGCGGATGGAGTGTCTGTCTGTCTGTCATTCCGTTGGGGCGCGGTGTCGCTGTGACAGCACTTGTCTCTGTTGACTCGCTTTCCGCTGGGAGTGAACGGCACGGGGAAACAACAAACAAAAATGTGTGGGTTATGCGCTCCGTGACATCCGGTGCGTTTACAAAAACAAATGAAACGAGACGGCGGCCGAAGGAACACAAGCGAGAGGAGCACCGAAGTTGACAGAACAAGAGCGATTAGAGAAGAGGTAAGATGATGAGAAGTGAGGGTTGTATTGAACGAATAAAATCGGCGTGGTGGGTGGGTGGGTGGGGGGCAGGTGCAGAAGAGAAAAGGAGAAGAGTACAAATATTTATATAAATGTAGTTTTAGGAACGTTAGACGCAGAGGCTGTCACTGTTGTATACTCTTTTTTTTTTTTTTTTTCTTTCTTCTCTACCGTTTCTTTTTCTGTTTTTGTATTGCTGCTACGCTCACGTACGTCTACTTCTTCGAGCTTTTCTTATCTGTGTCCGCATGTATGTTCTTTTCTTTCTTTTTTTTTTTTTTTTTTTTTTTTTTTGTTGCGTGTGTGTGTGTTGATTCATGTGACATCTTCAGTGATCAAAGGGCTCCCGACAAGACACACACACAGGGAGAGTGTGTTTGAGTGAAAAGGAATGAAAAAGAGAGAAAAAGAGATGGAGAGAGTGTGAGTGAAGTATACGTATATTAATGCAAACCCAAAAAAAATTTGTATTTTCCGTCAATACCATCATTTTTTCGTCTTTTTGTTTTTTGTTTGTTGTAGTTTTTGTTTTGTTTTTTTCTTCCCTCACGCCTCCTTTTGTTGCGATTTCCGACTGCACGAAGCAAATGTGTGTGTTTGGGTGGTTTTCCCCCTTACGATTGTTTGTGCTGGGTGTATTCATTGCCCCCTTTGCTCTCTCTCTCTCTCTACGTCCATCCCGTTGCTGCTTCTCGTTTGTGTTTGCATGTTTGCCTGTCCCATTCCCCTTCTAATGGCCCCACAGCTTGGGGCTTAGTCAGGGGAAAGAAAGAAACAACGAGCAACCAAAGGGAAAAACAATAATAATAATAATAATAATGAGGCGTAAACAAAAGACGAAATAAAGTCGGAGAAGTCATCTAAAGCACCACTACGTTATCAAATAGAAAAAACAAAAACAAAAAAGTGTCGTTTCTTTTTTTTTTTTTTTTTGTCCGCTTCTTCCTTTTTGTCTCTGTGTGTTTTGTTGTTGTGTGTTGTTGCGCATCTCTCTTTGTTGTGTACTATTTTTTTTTCCACTTTGTTGGCTTGCCTTTCTTTTTTTTTTTTTTTTTTTGCTTTTGTGTGTCTGTTGCTGTATTTGTGCTCAGGAAGACGTACTTCTCGTAACTTGCCCCGGAGTAAATAGCCAACTAGCCAAATAGCCCGTTGCAACCATCCTCACGACTGCTTACGCACAGACGGAATTTATTCAGAATCCAGCAGTAACAATGATGCGCACTAGCCCGCGAAGTATTCAGCAGCCCATGTACCGCGGGGGACAGGGAGGGTTCCAACAGCACCACCAGAATTATCAGCAATACCAGCATATTCCGGGTCGCCGAAACAGCAACTTAAGTCCCGTGAGTGGAGGTCGGGGTGGTAACATGGGCGCCCCTTTACATTTTGACCGCCATCACACGATACGGTTGGTGTGCCCCCGCAGCAACACTGTGGTTTGTACACGCCTAAATCGTGTTCTTCCGACCCTTGCAAAGGCACAAAGTGGTGCAGCTGTCTGCGAGGATTTTATGTATGCTCAAAGCTGCCCATATGGCGAGTCATGTACTAAAGTACATGTTCCGAAAGAACACACATGGACCTACATTACACCCGACATTAATAGGAGCACGGGTCTGTTTGAACCGGGATTTATTGTTCACTGCTACGGCCCAAGAATGACGCAGTATTACCCAATACAGAGCGAATTTGTCTTAAATACTCGTGGCAGCCGTGAATATGTGAAGATGTATAACGAACATGGAGATAACTTTAAGGCCAAATTTAAGCTTTGTGAGAGTATGCTAACCCGTGGAGAATGCAGTCTGGGAGAAGCCTGCGATGATATTCACGCCATTCGTAATGATGTTTG